TCAACTGCTTCCCTGGACACAGCTGACTGGCCAGAAAGAACCACTGACCCAGGGTGGGCCCATCAGATCCCTTTCCAGGAATCTGTAATCAAGATGCATTAAGGTAGCCCCTAACCCCTGCAGGACTGATGCAGCCTGAATCTTAGGGGCCGCAAGGGGCCGTGTGCACAGACGTGATCAAAAAAAAGCCTTTTCCAGAAGAATAAATCTAGAGCGGACTCACAAGGGGAAACGAAGACGAGAGGCAAGGAAGAGCTGCTTCTGCCGACAGCTCTCCGAGTCTAAGCTCCTCGGGAGGCCTGGTTGCCTGCCTTTTCTGCTTAGGCTAGCCCGAATCAGTCATTATTTGCTTAACTAAGGGAGAGGCAGGTTTTTTTGTGTTTTTTTTTCTGAGGACACCACCGCCATCAACTACAGAACCTGCTTTTGAAGTTGCCTTTGAGTGTGGGAGTTGGGTGGGAACCACAGGTCCTGCGTGTGTGTCTTGCCTGGCCTGGCACGCCCCCAGGGGAGAGGACTGAGCCACGGGGGAGGGCGGGTAATGCCATGTGAACAGCAGTGCACGCTGCAGAACCTGAGCATACATTTTTTAGAAGTGTTTATGTAAGTCATCTCATCCAATCAACAATCCTATGAGAAAAATGTCCCCATTTTGGACATAGGGAAACTGAAACTTTGGGAAACTAGGTGGCGTTTAGAACAAAGACACGGACCTGAATCTACAACCAGAACTCCTGACCACCTCTGACTGCCCCTCACACTATGTTGACTCCTGTGGGATCCATGTGCCACATTGTTGATGAGGATTTCGGTCCCTGAGCCGATTCTAACCCACCTGAGAGCCAAGCCTTTGCCTGCTTAGTCGTAGCAGTGGTCTGGTCAAAGCTGCTAAACAGCCTCCAAACTAATATCTGACACTCACAGCACAAACGATCCTTTTGTAATCAGATATTTTATAGCACTACTAATAAAAGTGGTCATTGGATCCCCTACCCTCTAAGCACGCAAGCTTTCCAATTGGTAGACTGCTGAGGGAGACAAGGGCTTCTGAGGTCATGCAATTTCTCTCTTACTTGTTTATTTGTCCATTTATCAGTTCCAGATGCCAGAGAGGTCAATGTTGATGGTTGGGTTATGGCAACTGTACAACTAGCACTGCCCCCACCTGTCAGCAGTGATCTTGGGGCAAACTGGTAAATACAGCCCATAGAGTCAGAAGCACTTAATGCACAGACTTCACGGTGAGCCCTAAGGACTACCTCTCCAACGGGATCCAGGAACAATTTCAAATGTAAGCTCAGAAGAAGGCTCACCCTACTGTAGATTGAGAAAACTTGGATGGAGAAATGAGCAGGGTTTTTTTTTCTCCTGTGCTGTGGTTTGCTCATCGAGAACGTGAGCAATCCCCACAGCCTTCCGAGAAGGGTGAATCATTGTTAGGAGTAACGGGCTGACGCTCTTCTCTTGGAAAGGGTAGGCGCCAGGAAGCTCCTGGACAGTGTCTCTGGGCCCGAGGTGGGTACTGCCGTGAGACGTGTCATGTCTGCTGTCCATTCTGGAGGCTGAGAGGAAATCAGCAAAGATTGCATCCAGGATGACGCCAAACAACAGAAGGAAAAAAATACAGAGAGAGCGCCAAGCCGGGTAAAGAGTCAGTTAGGCTCGGTAGATGTGATCTGTGAGAGATGAAATTGGCAGAGGAAACATCTATTGCAAATTCACAGCCGGAGTTCAAGCACTTGCTCAGGCTTTCTATGTGGTCCCCACAGTCAACCATGTAGGAGGAAGGGACGGAGTAAATGAGTTGGCAGGATACCAACACCATGAGTGACACAGAGGGCCCATGTGGGTGCCTTCTGTTGCTCTATTGGGCAACTCCACCAAAGACATTCCCCTCTTCTTCCAGTGTAAGCAAATCTTGTTTTAGTTCATGTGACAATGTGCCTGTCCCTGGGGATGAATTATGGCTGCTATAGCCAATCACTGAGATCCCAAGTCAGTGGGAGTGATTGGCGTAGGGTTTGGCTAATGAAATAGAAGAGAAAGTTTGCAGGGAAGGCTTCTGGGGATGATTTTCCAGAGAAAAACCTTCCCCATCTCTCCTGCTGAGAGTGTCCTCATGTCCCCAAGTGATGATTCTTCATCTTGGAAGAAGGAAAGAGAGTCCAAGGGAAGCACAAAGATTCCAAACCACTGCCTGGCTACCAAAAATTCACTGAATCAACTTGGAACAGGGAGGCGATGAAATGCTTTTATTTTTTAAATAACGTTTAGCTTTTCTATAACTTGCAGACCATATCATTCTAACTCAAAAATAAATTTTAAAAAACTGATAAAATTTTCAAGAGTGTTTCACAGAGTGTGTTCTGCATCCAAAAATGTTCCGTGATCAGATGTGTTTGCAGGAAATTGTGCATTATACCCGTCTCTTTGCATTTCGCTTTTGCACATTAAAGGCTCTGAGAAGTCCTGCATTAAAAAAAGTTTGACTTTCTTTAACTTTGCATTTCCTAAAAAAATTAATTTATCAGAGAATAACACTTTAGACTTCATAATAGAAGAAATACCTCACAGAGTCCATTTTGGAAAAATTAATTTGGGGTTGGTGAGAAAAAGAAAGGAGAGCTGAAGGACATGTCTTGGATATGCCGATCCCTACGTAGCTCCCACCTGCGCAAAACAGGCAGGAGCAGTTGTATCTTTCTGCATCCTTTTATGTTTGCAGGAGGCCGTGAAAAAGGGATACCTTGTACAAGTACCCCCTTCTATCCCTGAATTCGGACAACCTAACAGAATATACTAATGAAGGAATATAAGCTCGGCAACATGGCCATGGTCCAATCACCTTGTAGCAAACCAGGAAATGCAGTTTGATTGCTGCATTTAAAACCTATTTTAAGAAGTGTGGCTGGCAGGCAGATGCCCTTCAATGATATTGGTAACTACACAGATACCTACTCTTCTCCTAGTGTCTCTCTTTCTAAGAAAAATATAACGAAATTAAGGAAAATACATTTCATTGAGGTGGCCAGGTATTAGCAATTTAGATTAGAACCAAATTTCTTCCAATCTGCCCCCCACCAAAAAAAGGTATCCTTAAAACACAAAGGAGGGAGAAGAAAAGGGAGGAAAGAAAGTCAGGAGATTCAAGAGAGAGAGAGACAGAGGACAAGAAAGGAGGGAACAGAGAAAATACCCACAGATGAGACACAGGTGTCAAAAGAGAGACAACGTATCACAACATTGGTGTCTCCCAGGAAGGAACTGGAGGCCTAAAGCTCAAGTGAATGGAAGGGGAAACCCTCACTGCATTCCCTTTCGTAGCATTTAAATTTTGAGCCACATAAATCTGTATTCCATTGATTTAAATGTGTCATCTATCTTTTCAAAACATAAATTAGTTTAAGATTTAAAAAACAACAACACAAAGACTGCAGCAGCAGCACAAATAAAACACCAGTTCGTGCCAGTAGAAATGGTCTCATACGGGGCTACGGGAGTCGCCCTTTGCACTAAACTATATGACCCATTATATGAAACCACCACTTGAATTTATTTCACGTCGTGGGAAAGGCTCCATTCTTTCTCCTAAACCACACCCGCCGGTTGACAATGTCCCCATCGGCGCAAAACAATAAACCCTCACATGCACACGAGCACTTCACTGCCTCTCTGTCCTTCGTTTGCCAGCCGAGTCTCCTTTGCCGTAGAGATTTCGACACTATCTTAACGCCGATGAACCTGTCAGGGACGCCTGGAGACAAAAGCACCCATCCCTTTCTGTCTAGCTCTGACCTAGTGCCGGCCGTCGGCCCCATCTGAACAGGAAGAGAAATCTGAAGTTGCCATACATTATTTACCAGGATGAGCCAGTAATTCTGACGGCAGGGGAAAAGCAACGAGAGAGCTCAGGAAAGCTTAAAACACCGTGAGGGCCGCTCATGGAGGAGCCACGACTCATGCAGGCGCAGCTGCTTAGGAGCAAAGTGGGTAGAGATGAGAGGTTAGTAGAGAGGGCCGTGCTGGGAGACCACGGAAAATAAATATGCACACAAGAAGAAAAAACATCAAGTCGCTTCCTCAGTTCCATACAACTGCATTCTGCTGTTTGTGACCCAGAGGATTTAACAACGCTGATGCCAAAAGCAACCGTAAGGTGGAAAGGCCTCTACAAATCATCGCCACCCAGGACCGGCATTAAGTGAGCGCTCCGAACAGTCACAGTCACTGCACCAGTGGCCAAGCTACGAGGCAGCGAACACATTAGCGACAAGGGAAACACTGAGTGGATTTTCCTCCTTTATTGGGTCCCTTTGAGCACCATGGTTCCTCCGACCCCAAACTGCACTGCTGTTATTTTAAAAGCAGCCAGTTCCTCCTATTTTTATAATAATGTGGAAACAGGATTATAAGGCATATTGTCCGGTACAAAGTGCCAACTTCCTCCTGGGATGTTAAAGATAGGACAATTATGACTTCAAACTCATCCATCCGAAACATGAGTGCATTTTAAAAACGCGCACCAAGGAGGGGAGCCTATTTTGATATTTCTTAAAATACCACACCCATGCCAAGAAGGCGATCAACCAGGACGCCGTGGAAGCGGAACAAAGTCACCGAGCTCCATTCATAAGCAAACCATTCTCTCTCCCCACCTCGGGAACGCGTTTTGCATCGATCATGCTTGAGCGTTGAGAGAGTTTCATTTTTAAGAAGGTAAATCACATAGGAGGTTTAAAAATCCGTCTCCCTCTCCCTTATACACGAATGCCACGAAACGAAAAGGTCTGCGTAGGACATGCATCCTCCTAGAAAATGCCCTTCACATGCGCGTTGCTCCCCCACCCCAGTTAACAGCAAGAGAGCATTTTAGCCACTCAGCAAACAGCCTGGGATTCACATTAAGGAGGCAGCAAGGCATCCTTTTGACCTTTGTTATTACTTAGGCCTCGTGTTGTACATAAAAAGAGTCCAATGATGTCAAACAGATTCCAGGAGAGAAGTATTTATTGCTGAATCTAAATCAAAAAATCCATACTTACTATAATGGCACTTCAAAAGAAGATATACTGTATTTACCAGCTCAATCAATAGCAAATTAGCTGGGATAAATATTTTCAACTCTACCAGTCTTAAGACGAAGCCCGCTATTTAGAACCCGGTGCCTTGGGAGAGACAAGGAAATTTTTGCTTATCTCACAGACGCGAAGCAGGAAGCATTTGCAGGCGGATGCACCTACCCTTAGCTGCTCTCTTTCACAATTCATCTGCTGTCGGGAAACCTACAAAGAAACGGAAAAGAGGGGTGCAAATCAGAAGGTTCTGCATCAACGCAACATGAAAGGGGGGAAAGGAAGTTCCCTGTTCTTCTAATTAGATTCGTCTAATCGCTGGGCTTAAAGCAGGCCCAGAATTAATTAATTACGTCTTTAATTTTTTCATTAGACCTAAATATTGTTTTCTCTTTAGGATGCCTGAGCTTCCCTTGGCATTTTTCTATTGTGCGGTCCGGAAACACAAATTAGGATGAGCCGGTGTTGGAGGGAATGAAGAGTAAGGTCCAAGGGAGGGCGTGGGAGGTGAAGCTGCCAGGGTGAGGCTCCCTCTTGGCATGGCATCCCTCCTGCCCTGTCTAACAGGGGCACCCTTTCCTGAGGGCCCACTCAGGAGGGCTGGGAATCGTCGCCCGACGCCAGACAGCGTCTGCTCTGAGGTTAAAGGCCAGCAGTGTCACCTACGTGCCTTGGCAAATGGGTTACATTCTACGGCCCACTTCGATCAGATGGTAATAAGTCCCCATAAGGCTGCGTTGGGGAGAATTCTGAGGTCAATGCTCATATCAGAGAGACCCTGACTGATTGGTGATTTCTGCCCTAAGCTCCAAAGGGAGACTTCAGTGATAGCCATGCCACGCATCGTCTATCCCTGTGCTACCGAAACGTGCTTCTAAAAATCAAAACTGCTTCTTTAAAGTGGCCATGGAATTTATCGTTCCAACAGGAAAATGTATGTGAGTTAAAGGAGTGGGTGGGGTGTTGATGCTTTTGCCAGGGACAGCATATGTGGAGTGGAAATGACAAAGCAAACTGGAGCATATGGTCACCCTGCCTCTGTGGGGACTGGCTGACTCCACCTTCCACTCAAGCAGCTAGGTTGAAATAAAGCTCGGGTCTGCATGCACGATTTATTCTGCGTATTTACAGTATTTTCTGAACCAATGAAGCCACCCCTGACTCCTGGCATCTGAACAGTATATTGCAAGTTTTTGAAACTTTTACTAAAGGGTAAGAAAATTTTGGAATTGATTTTTGATGTGTATTTTGGTTTTTTGGGTGGAAAGTCTCTTTTTTTTAACTATCTCGCAAACAAAAATAGCCATCTTTAGTTAGGATATGCCAGAGCCCCAAATCTATACATGGGTGCCCTGTTATGTACCCTTGAAGCCAGGAACACCACCTCTAAGAATAGCTCCCAATAAACAGAAGCAGATACACAACAAACGTTTATTTACATATCAGTTAACTGTAGCATTACTTACGAAGGCAAAACATTGTGACTATGACAGTGTGTAATGAGGGGAGCATTTACAGTGAACCTTAGCTCACTGATGTGATGGCATTGAGAGCCCCGGTTTGAACTAGACTCGCAAGGCACTGCTTAGTTTTCAAGAAGCTACAAAGGTGCACCGATGTTATGATTCTTATTTTGTTTTAAAAATACAGTGAAACCAATCATTGAAGAGAAGGCAGATAAAAGAAAGAGGAAAGCACTGGGAGGAATTATACCAAAATATTTTAAAAAGCAAGCACCGTTCTGTAAATAGACAACATACTCACACCGGACTGTCCATCTGAAGTCGGTGGCTGGGTGATACGTTCATTATATTTCTGTAAACTAATAAAAAGTGAAGTGGGCCAAATCCATACAGATGAGGGGCTGCCGTGGGATTTGGAGGAAGGCTGAAGGGGAGAAATGGGGAGAAACGGGGAGAGGCTTCTTCCTAGGTTTGGGTTTTCCATTCAGGGTGATGAAAAAGTTCTCGAAATTGACCGGGATGGTTGCACAATATTCTGAATGTATTTAACCCTAAATTGTACAGTTTAGCTGAAATGGCACATTTTATCTTGGGTGTCTTTTCCCAAGATAAAATTAAGTGAGTGATAAGGTTCCGGTTCTGGGGTTCTGGGTGAGCTGGAATGAGTGCACCTCCCCCACTCCCC